CCCTATGAGTTTACAGTGTACAACACACTTTGTAGAAATTCAGTGAATTAAACTGCACAACCCAAAAGAAACAATGATAATCAAGAGGATAAGAGTCAGCTCACTATAGAACGAACATGATTGATTTGATTTCAATCAGTCAATCAGGCCAGATCGCCTCATGGCAAGAAGGTTGCTGGTTCGAGCCTCGGCTGGGTCAATTGGGTAAACTAAATTGTCCATAGTGTTCAAGTGTGAGTGAGAGTGTATGGGTGTTTTTCCCAGTGATGGGTTGCAGCTGGAAGGACATCCGCTGTGTAAAACATATGCTGGATAAGTTGGTAGTTCATTCCGCATAACCTCAGATTAATAAAGGATAGATAGATAGATAGATAGATAGATAGATAGATAGATAGATAGATAGATAGATAGATAGATAGATAGATAGATAGATAGATAGATAGATAGATAGATAGATAGATAGATAGATAGATAGATAGAACGATAGATAGAACGATAGATAGATAGATAGATAGATAGATAGATAGATAGATAGATAGATAGATAGATAGATAGATAGATAGATAGATAGATAGATAGATAGATAGATAGATAGATAGATAGATAGATAGATAGATTGATAGATTGATAGAACGATAGATAGAACGATTGATAGAACGATGGATAGATAGATAGATAGATAGATAGATAGATAGATAGATAGATAGATAGATAGATAGATAGATAGATAGATAGATAGATAGATAGATAGATAGAACGTACTCAAATTATTTCAAGCTATTAATGAAATCTAGTCTTTTAATGAAATGCAAACATCAACTTAATAAAACTTAGTTATTATAACCAAGCTAGTTTAATCAATCAAAAATTTAATTAAATTCTTAATACACAAATGTAATTGTAAGCTTTCAACAAATTGCTTTATTATTTTATCATTTTTAATCTCACAAAAAAAATTGTTATCCTTTAATGTGCCAAACATGTGTTAGCATTTTACAATTGGAATAGTTTTAAGGGCAATAATATGTTTGCACACTTCTATCCAGTCAAAAAGCATTACAAGCGTGTTTTTCATAATATGTCAGATTTAAATAGAGACTCTAGTATGGCGAGTGTTATGAAATTATAGTGCATTTTCCAGATGCTTCGGTGTGATGTGTTGTGTGTTTAATGTGTGAATGGCAGCATTATTGTCCCACACAAAGCCAGCCGAGCCGCAGCAAACGCCAGAAAAAGCACAACATTGTCCTTTCGCCAGCAGCACAAATAACAAACTCATTCTGTTGTGGAGAATGATATCAGATTACTGCGTTTAGAGAAGCATGAGCTCGTCTCGTTGTTGTTTTAATTACTCAGACACACAAGGCAAAACTGAGTTGATCTAAATATCCTCTATACTCAGATAACATCTTACTTTAAATGTCAAAACTGAATAATTGGTTCACAGTATAAAGAGATATGGTTTTATAAAACTAGCACTGTGTGTGACGTCTTATGAAATTGCTTTTGTGTATTTTTTAAGCTTTAAATGAGGTTGGAATACATGAACATTAGTGATGAAAGCAGATTTGGGAAGACACGATGGAGAGTAAATAACTCATTTTATGCTCAGATGAACTGTCATGTAATGAATGTCAACAGGTGGCAGCAAAAAGAAGATCAAATGGCTCGTTTCCACTGAGTGGTACAGTACGGTACGGTTTGGGTCACCTTTATCAGGCTTGCGTTTCCACTACCACGGGTTCCCTTTTGGTGGTCGTGGTGTGCGACAAAGTTTAAGTCGACGTCATGTTCGCTCGATTAAATGTCTACAATAAAGCTGCACAGGTCGTTTACAAATCATATGAGAAGCACTTCTCACAAAACAGATGCTTTACACACATAAATACTTGTTTATAAATGTTTATTACTAATATTTCTATGAACATGATTTGATTATAACTGCAGATCAATGTAGGCTATTGTAGAGTCTGTGATTATATTAAATAAATAAATACATGCAACATTTATGAACACATCCAGCCCCTTACAGTCTCTGATATATTATTAACTACAGAAAAACTACACACAGCAGACATTTAGTCCTTATTTGAGTTCAAAATCACACGCAATATAGCCCACAGTCAGCGCAAACCTCTCATCTGTGTCTGTAATCTTGACCAGCACATGTAAGCTCTGTTTGAGAGTCATTTTGTCATTCCCAGTTCATAATAATCCAAAAGGCGAAGATAATCATGGCAGTTTGTTCATGATTCAGTTTGCTAAAACAATTTTGCTCTTGTGTTTTCCCCCCGGCTTGTCCTTTTTTTGCGTTTCTCTCTCGCGGTTGTTCTTTTTATTTCTGAATGGATCAGATGACGGAGACACTTCAATAATCACATGCACGTTATTATCATCAGCTCAAGAAATTCGTTATATCAAATATAGACGCGATCATGAGCTCCCGGAAGAAAGCGAATACCACTCGCACCTTTAGACGGGCTCGTAAAGCAACAACAGCAGACGGCAGATTTTTCTTCTTGGCTTTGTGTCTGTTCAAGACGACTACAAGGTTTGTTTGAGCCCGGGTCATCCATGGCTCGTTATTATATGCATATAGTATTTCCATGTAATGTCTCGGCTGTGTATTAGAACATGGCGGATCCTTTGTTTACATTCTGTCTAGCTCAACAAGCTCGTGACGTATCTCTGTAACCAATCAGCGTTCGGCTGCGCGTGTAGCTTAACCTTTTGGTACCCTTTCTCGTTTTTGGTACCCTTTTGAAAGGGTACTTAAAATGTGGTACGGTACGGTTTTGTTCGGTACGCTTATTGACAGTGGAAACGGCCATAAAAGCGCACTAAACCAAACCGTACCGTACCGTACCACTCAGTGGAAACAGGCCAATTGTTAAAACTAATATTTAAACTGTCTGTAAGATTGTGTGTGTGTGTGTGTGTGTGTGTGTGTGTGTGTGTGTGTGTGTGTGTGTGTGTGTGTGTGTGTGTGTGTGTGTATGTTTGTGCGAATGCAAGTGTGTATGGGTGTTTCCCAGTACTGGATATGCCAGAGTACTTGGCAGTTCACTCCTCTGTGGTGACCCCTGATAAATAACAGTCTGAGCTGAAGGAGATTGTGTGAGTGGCTGGATTGATAAAATGAATGGAGGGATTAATTGATTTATAAAATAATGGATGGATAAATTGCGAAAATAATTGACGAATGGATGGATAGAGGGTGGCATGGCGGTGCAGTGGGTAGTGCGGTCACCTCACAGCAAAAAGGTTGCTGGTTCGAACCTCGGCTGGGTCAGTTGCCATTTATGTGTGGAGTTTGCATGTACTCCTCGTGTCGGTGTGGGTTTTCTCCGGGTGCTCCGGTTTCCCCCACAGTCCAAACACATGCGCAGTAGAGGAATTGAGTTAGCTAAATTGTCCATAGTGTATGTGTGTAAATGAGTGTGTTTCCCAGTGAGGGGTTGTGGCTGGAATATGTGGAACATGTGCTGGATAAGTTGGTGGTTCATTCTGCTATGGCGACCCCTTTTTTGATAAAGGGACTAAGCCGAAAAGAAAATGAATTAATGAATGAATGGACAGAATGATTAATAAAATAATGGATAGATAGATGGATAACATAATAGATGGATGATTTGATAAAATGATTAATGAATTGATTGATAAAATGATGGATTGATTGAAAAATAGATGGCTAGATAGATCGATAAAATTATGTGTGGATGGATAGATAAAATGATTGATGAATGGATTGATAAAACAATAGATTGATTAATAAATAAATAAATGAATGGATTGATAAAATAATGTATGAATGGATAGAGGGATGGATGGATTGATAAAATGGTGGGTGAATGGATGGATTGATTAATATGGATTTATAAAACAATGGATAGATAGATGGATAAAAAATTGATTGATAAAATGATAGATGAATGGATTGATAAAATGATGGATGGATTGATAAAATGTTGGATTAATTGATAAATGGATGGATTGATAAAATGATGGATTAATTGATAAATGGATGGATTGATAAAATGATGGATTAATTGATAAATGGATGGATTGATAAAATGATGTATGAATGGATAAATTGATTAATAAAATGATGGATGGATTAATAAAATAATGGATGAATGGATGGATTGACTAATAAAATGATGGATGGATTAATTGATGAAATAATGTATAAATGGATGGATTGATTGATAAAATGATAGATGAATGAATGGATTGATTAATAAAATGATGTATGAATGGATGGATAAAATAATTGATCAATGGATGGATTGAATAATTTTGATTTATAAAACAATGGATAAACAGATGGATAAAATGATGGATGAATGGATGGAAAGATGGTTGGATTGATTGATAAAATAATTGATGAATGGATGGATTGATCAATATTGATTTATAAAACAATTGCTAGATAGATGAATAAAATTAATGGATTGATTGATTGGTGGATGGATGGATTGATAAAATGGTGTATGAATAGATGGATTGATTGATAAATTGATAGATGGATGGATGGATGGATGGATGGATGGATGGATGGATAAATTGATTGATTGATAAAATGATGGATGGATGGGTTGATAAAATAATTGATGAATGGATGGATTGATAAAATAATTGATGAATGGATGGGTTGATAAAATAATTGATGAATGGATGGATTGATAAAATAATTGATGAATGGATGGATTGATTAATAAAAGAATGGATAGATGGGTAAAATAATAGACGGATTGATTAATAAAATGATGTATGAATAGATAAAAGGATGGATGGATGGATTGATTGATTGATAAAATAATGAATAAATGGTTGGAAAGATGCATGAATGGATTGTTAAAATGATGGATGAATTGATAAAATAATTGATGAATGGATGGATGGATTAATAAAATAATGGATATGTAGATGGGTAAAATAAAGGATGGATGGATGGTAGATTGATTGATGGATGGATGAATAGATTGACTGATTGATAAAATGGATGGATGAATGGATGGATTGATTGATAAAATGGATGGATGAAGGGATGAATTGATTGATAAAATGGATGGATGAATGAATGGATGGATTAATTGATAAAATGGATGGATGAAGGGATGGATTGATAAAATGGATGGATGAAGGGATGGACTGATTGATAAAATGGATGGATGAATAGATGGACTGATTGATAAAATGGATGGATGAAGGGATGGACTGATTGATAAAATGGATGGATGAAGGGATGGACTGATTGATAAAATGGATGGATGAAGGGATGGACTGATTGATAAAATGGATGGATGAAGGGATGGATTAATTGATAAAATGGATGGATTGATAAAATTGATGGATGGATTTATGGATAAGATTATGGATGGATAGATTTATTGATAAAATGGATTGATGGATGATAAATGTTAAATAGAGAAATGGACGAATGGATAATGGACAGATGATGGATAAAATTACAGGTGGATCATTTGACAGACAGACAGACAGACATAAAGAATGAACATTGCAGACTGAGCCTGTACCTGCAGATACTGTGGTGAAGGTGGAGCATAGACGCAGCTGTTCATGATGTAGGTCCTGCAGTGGAGATGCTGGCCGCTGGTGGAGACGGACACCTCCATGGGGCTGTAGATGCCCATCTTCACATTCTCCTGCCTGCAGATCCGCACACACACACACAGGTCAGCTCATCTGCTCTGCCATTCTCAGGTGTAAGCATCACCTATGGTCTTCTTACCTGTCCAGAGACTCCAGGTCCGACATGTTCATCCTCCACACCACGCCCCACACTGCATCACCTGCACTGGGCTCGATGGTGGCCACTCCTCCATGCCAACGCTGACTCGCCAGCCCTTTATGATTGCCAAACACCAGCTTATAGTCCTGCAGGAGGATAATGAGGAGGGATTAAGACAGATAGATAGTCAGACAAATACATGGATGGATGGATGGATGGATGGATGGATGGATGGATGGATGGATGGATGGAGGGATGGAGAGATGGAGGGAGGGATGGAGAGATGGATGGAGGGATGGATGGATGGGTGGGTAGGTAGGTAGGTAAGTAGATAGATAGATAGATAGATAGATAGATAGATAGATAGATAGATAGATAGATAGATAGATGGATGGATGGATGGATGGATGGATGGATGGATGGATGGATGGATGGATGGATGGATGGATGGATGGATGGATGGATGGATGGATGGATGGATGGATGGATGGATGGATGGATGGAGGGAGGGAGGGAGGGAGGGAGGGAGGGATGGATGGATGGATGGATGGATGGATGGATGGATGGATGGATGGATGGAGGGAGGGAGGGAGGGAGGGAGGGAGGGAGGGAGGATGGATGGATGGGTAGGTAGGTAGGTAAGTAGATAGATAGATAGATGGATAAGGTAAGTAGGTAAGTAGATAGATAGATAGATGGATGGATGAAACAACAGATAGATGGATGGATAGGTAGATATATATGGATGGATGGATAGGTAGATATATATGGATGGATGGATAGGTAGATATATATGGATGGATGGATTAAACAACAGATGGATGGATGGATGGATAGGTAGGTATATATATGGATGGATGGATGGATGGATGGATGGATAGATAGATGAAACAACAGATGGATGGATGGATGAAACAACAGATAGATGGATGGATGGATGGATGGATGGATGGATGGATGGATGGATGGATGGATGGATGGATGGATAGGTAGGTAGGTATATATATGGATGGATGGATGGATGGATGGATGGATGGATGGATGGATGGATGGATGGATGGATGGATGGATGGATGGATGGATGGATGAAACAACAGATAGATGGATGGATGGATGGATGGATGGGTGGGTATGTAGATAGATAGATAGATAGATAGATAGATAGATAGATAGATAGATAGATAGATAGATAGATAGATAGATAGATAGATAGATAGATAGATAGATAGATAGATAGATAGATAGATAGATAGACGGACGGATGGATGGATAAATGGATGGGTTAGGTTAGGGTTGGGTTGTGTTAGGGTAAGGAATAGGTTAGGGTTAGGGTTGGGTTGGATAAATGAACAGATGGACAGATATTTACCTTGAGTCTGGCCACGCAGTGCACAGCAGCAGAAGGATTCCTCATCTGCAGTCTCTCCTTCAGCAGGTTACTCCCGTAGGCGAAATAAAGGAATGTGGAGGCGTTCAGGCTCTCTGTGCCGTTGTCCATCAGTGCGTCTCCGGAGGGCAGAGGGACTAGGAGGAGGACGAGGAGGAGGAAGAGGAGGGACAGGGTGAGGAAGAGGGAAAATCTGAGCAGAATGGCGGTCGGCAGGGCTCACAGGCAGAGCAATGGCCTGACCGTGATGGAAAACACCTCTGTTATACACAGCTTTCAGCAGCTCTCCATTCTCATGCAAATCCATTGTGTTCAAACCCTGCATTCATCAGCCGGACACTACAGCTGCAGATGCTGGATACTAAAGGTCACCCTCTAGTGGAGGAACAGGAGAACAGCTCATCTACGAGATGCATCTGCAAGCATGAGGGTAAGCTTTTCCTTTAAGTTAATGGGATAGTTCACACAAAGAATTTAAATCCCTTTTAGGCCACCGGATATGTGTCTTTTTGGTGCCACTTTATAATGGCCCTTTTCATCAGCATCTTAAATTCTTTATGCAAGGCCTTTGTAATGCAGCATCTATTGAGGCAGGACAGTAAATCTGACATTGTTCTGCCGTTATCAGTCTCGCACTATTGTTTTCCTCTTTCTGAAAGTCTTGATAACACCATCCTGGAGCTTTTCTGTTATTATTTTAGCAAACAAGACTGTAAAAAAATATTTGTTGTGAGTTTACCAACTATAAATATATATATAAATATATATAAATATTTATTTGTGTATTTTTATTTATTTTATTTAACAGGGGCAATGCTCATTATTCTACAGTAAAAATCGTAAATAAGCCAGAGTTAATCACAAAGGCAAATTTTCACCTGTTGCCCCCCCGCCAGATTTAAAAATAAAAAGCAACATAAAATCAAAAACACATTAATAAGTCACATACACCAAGAATATAAAACAAATGATGAGAATTTCATAAAAAAGCAAGAGAGAAGCTTTACACACGATTACAAACTTGATTTGCTTTTAGGCAATTCTAATGCTCAATGTATATTGCAGTGCTTGTTATAAATGATTCAAAGCACTTCATTATTCTGTAAAGAATTTATTTGCCCTCACAATTTTTTATTAAACATCATAACCTTCCCTCCCTCTCAAAATGACTTTTCTTCACTTCTGGTCACATGGAATGCCTTTAGTTTCCAAAGAAGGAAATCATGCACTGTCCTAAAACATCTTCATATTTCATACTTTAGATATTCATATTGGCGACGCAGTGGCGCAGTAGGTAGTGCTGTCGCCACACAAAGAAGGTCGCTGGTTCGAACCTCGGTTTGGCTCGCTCAGTTGGCGTTTCAGTGTGGAGTTTGCATGTTCTCCCTGTGATCGTGTGGGTTTCCTCCGGGTGCTCCGGTTTCCCCCACAGTCCAAAGACATGCGGTACAGGTGAATTGGGTGGGCTAAATTGTCCAGAGTGTATGAGTGTGTGTATGAATGAGTGTGTGGATGTTTCCCAGATATGGGTTGCGGCTGGAAGAGCATTCGCTGCGTAAAAACTTGCTGGATAAGTTGGCGGTTCATTCTGCTGTGGCAACCCCGGATTAATAAAGGGACTAAACTGACAAGAAAATGAATGAATGAATGAATGAATGAGATATTCATATTTCAAAATATCTTGTGTTTGACTTTCAGTTCATTCAATTGAATATCATTTGTATAGCGCTTTTCACAATGATTATTGTTTAAAAGCAGCTTAACAAAATGTGCACATTATTGCATTACAATCCAATTCAAAAAGAGCAGTGTACAGGGAGACATGTAGACATAGTTAACCTGCAGTTATATAGTGTATGTTTATATACAGTTGAAGTCAGAATTATTGGCCCCCTTCGATTTTTTTTTTCTTCTTTTTTTAAATATTTCCCAAATTATGTTTATCAAAGCACGGAAATTTTCACAATATGTCTGATAATATTTTTTCTTCTGGAGAAAGTCTGATGGTAAAGGTAAAATAAATCCATTATTAGAAATGAGTTATTAAAACTATTATGTTTAGAAATGTTTTTGCATTTTTGCAAAATCTGCTTTCTGTTAAACAGAAATTGGGGAAATAATAAACAAGCGGTCTAATAACTCAAGGGGGCTAATAATTCTGACTTTAACTGTATATATATATATATATATATATATATATATATATATATATATATACATACATATATAGTGTACTTCCAAAAAAAGATGATGTCTATGTGTACATATTCAATCTAGTGTATTTTATTTTATCAAAAGAAAGACACTCATAAAGGTTTGAAACATGTAAAGGCTGAGTAAATGATGACAGAGCTGTCATTTTCGGGTGAACCTTTTAACTACAACAATATAAAAATTCTGGGTTGTTGTGACCCAAAATGTGGCTCATTTGTGAATAAATCCAACCAGAGAAAATGGTGATATATCTGTACAAATTACTTAATGATTTCATTTCACACAAAATTACACATGGGGTCTACATTATTATAGACATGGGGTCTACAATAACAGAATAAAGACGTAATATATTGTGTAATGTATATAAAGTATAATGAGGGGGATTTCGTATCAATTCAAATTGATTTCAATTGATTATTGATCATTCGCAAAGGGTAGTATCTCGAATAAAGCAACATTGCATCTATGAATATAACAGACAGTAATGATGAATTCATTTGTTTATCGGTGTCTCCAGGCTATGCGGTTTAAGTTAGCAAATCTCACCTGTCATCTTCAGAGTAATTCACGGTTATTGTCACGCCATATGTCCACAAACTAAAGTTTAACAGGCTGTCCCGGTCCAATAACAGAAAAGATTACGAGGCTGAATCCAGCTTCTTATTCGCAGCTTCTTATTGACGCTATGCGGTCCACCTTAAAAACCGCGACGCTTCCGTTTTTCAGCTTCTTATTCGCGCTCATTTTAGGGACCGTGCTTATTTATGTTCCTTTTTGAAAAATGAAAAATGCTAAATGAAACTGATATAAGATAGAAAACGGGCTGCAAGCATGAAATCTAATTGCATCATTGATTAATTATTGACAGTGCCATCGTTTGAGTACAATATATTTTAGTTTTTTTTTCCAGAAATAGTCCTTTATGAAGACTTCACATGACCCACCTATGAATAGACAGTGCCTGCCTCAGCAAGGATTTTAGATACAAAATAATTGTTTTATTAATTAAAGTTGTAAAATTTAATGCATATGTTTTATCTGCAAATACTACAATTTGTATTAGATTTCAGTAGCTTTTTCTGACACCCACGCCTGTAAATACAATTCAAGTTTTGTTAAACCTATTGTTTCAAAGAACAGACAATGCACTTCTTATACACCTTTTTATACACCTTATACAAATAAATGTGAATTGAACTGAATGAGCTATTGCATAATTGAATACTGTACCATGTTCTCTCTAATATTACACAACAGGTTAATAGTATACGTCTATACACGCGTCTGCATATGTATAAATATTTATAATTCTATCCCATTGAGAAGACAGACCTAAAAACGGTCAAAATACAGTCATTTCAATAAATGCCCAGTTGGAGGTGCTATATGCCAAGTTTTTTGCATATTCATTTAATGTTTTATTTTTAACTTTTATGTATTTGTGTGCCTACTACATACTATGTATGTGTGTACTATAAACTATGTGTGTGTGTGTGTGTGTGTGTGTGTGTGTGTGTGTGTGTGTGTGTGTGTTCACATTAAAAATGTTTAACACTAAAGATAATAAAAGTATGTTTGTGTTATAAATTTACACAAAATAAAGATGCCAATACATAATCATTTATTAATAATGATTTATTATTATTATTAATAATATTAATAATTATTATTATTATTAATTTTTATTATTAGTAGTAATAGTAGTAGTGAAATAAAAATATTTTACAATGCACTTATACATATTGTACTGAAATAAATGCCAATTAATCTATATACCTTATAAAAATTTATTAATATGTACCTATTTATAAATAAGTGTGTAAAATATGTCTCTCTCTCTCTCTCTCTCTCTCTCTCTATATATATATGTATATATATATATATATATATATATTCATACACAGTACACAATACATTTTTCTGTGTCTGTGTTTATTTAAGTGTATGTATATGTATTCATTCATTTTCTTTTCGGCTTGTTCCCTTTATTAAACTTTGGTCGCCCCAGCGGAATGACCGCCAACTTCACCAGGACATGGTTTATGCAGCGGATGCCCTTCCAGCTGCAACCCATCTCTGGGAAACATCCCCAGTCGTACACTATGGACAATTTAGCCTTCCCAATTTAACTGTACTGCATGTCTTTGGACTGTGGGGGAAACCGAGCACCCAGAGGAAACCCACGTGAAAGCGGGGAGAACATCCAAAAACAGAAAGGCCAACTGACCAAGTCAAGGCTCAAACCAGCAACCTTCTTGCTGTGAGGCGACAGTGCTACCCACTGCGCCACCATGTCGGCCCTGTGTGTGTATATATATATATATATATATATATACAAATTAACTATATACCTATACAAATTTACATGAATTTAACAGTACTAATACTACTAATATTAATATAAATGATAAAAATAAAAAATATTAATAATATTATTATTAATTCTATTATTATTATTATTAAGCTTATTGTTGGTATTTTATTAAAAAAATTACAAGAAGCTTATACATATTGTACTTGTCTATCACAACACCAAAAATAAGATTATACACAAATTAAACACTAGCATTTTCAGGCTGGGTACCACTAGTTAATTTTGACACAGCAGAACAGTTTTGTTCCAATGCACTCTTGGCACAATTGGTGGCGCTGTATCTCAGCTGTCTTTGAGGGTGCATTGAAAATCTTACTTGGGTCTTGTAGACAATCTTCCCATCTATCAGCAAACCCAGATTCATATCAATTTACTCTACTAATTTTAGGTTATTGACCTCTGAACTTGCCATAAATCGCAATACAGCAAGGCAAAAACAGGTATGTACCATTGCACTCTGCACAATTGGTGATGCTTTATCTCAGCAGTTTCTGAGGGTGCGTAGAATATCTCACTGAGGTCTTGTAGACAATGTTCCCCTCTATCAGCAAACCCAGATTCATACCACATTACTGTACCATTTTCTGGTTATTGACCCTTTAAACTTGCCATTAATCACAATACAGTTATGTACCATTGCACTCTTGGCACAATTGGTGGCACTGTATCTCATCGGTTTTTGAGGGTGCGTTGAATATCTCACTGAGGTCTTGTAGACAATGTTCCAATCTATCAGCAAACCCAGATTCATAGCATATTACTTTAACAATTTTAGGCTATTGACCTCTGAACTTGCCCAAAATCGTAATACAGCAAAGTACCATTGCACTCTTGACACATTTGGTGGCGCTATATCTCAGCAGTCTTTGAGGGTGTGTTGAATATCTCACTGGGATCTTGTAGACAATGTTCCAATCTATCAGCAAACCCAGATTCATACCACATTACTGTGACAATTTTAGGCTATTGACCTCTGAACTTGCCAAAAATCGTAATACAGCTAAGTACCATTGCACTCTTTGCACAATTGGTGGCGCTATATCTCAGCAGTCTTTGAGGGTGAGTTGAATATCTCACTGGGGTCTTATAGACAATGTTCCAATCTATCAGCAAACCCAGATTCATACCACATTACTGTACATTTTTCTGGTTATTGATCTCTAAACTTGCCATGAATCGCAATACAGCAAGGCAAAAACAGCTATGTACCATTGCACTCTTTTCACAATTGGTGGCGCTATATCTCAGCAGTCTTTGAGGGTGCGTTGAATATCTCACTGGGGTCTTATAGACAATGTTCCAATCTATCAGCAAACCTAGATTCATACCACATTACTGTACCAATTTTAGGTTCTTGACCTCTAAACTTGCCAAAAATCGCAATACAGCAAGGCAAAAACAGCTATGTACCATTGCACTCTTTGCACAATTGGTGGCGCTATATCTCAGCAGTCTTTGAGGGTGCGTTGAATATCTCACTGGGATCTTGTAGACAATGTTCCAATCTATTAGCAAACCCAGATTCATATCACATTACTGTACCAATTTAAGGTTATTGACTTCTGAACTTGCAAAAAATCGCAATACAGCAAAGTACCATTGCACTCTTGACACATTTGGTGGCGCTATATCTCAGTAGTCTTTGAGGGTGCGTTGAATATCTCACTGGGATCTTGTAGACAATGTTCCAATCTATCAGCAAACCCAGATTCATACCACATTACTGTACCAATTTTAGGTTATTGACCTCTGAACTTGCAAAAAAATCGCTTACAGCCAAGTACCATTGCACTCTTGACACAATTGGTGGCGTTATACCTCAGCAGTCTTTGAGGGTGCGTTGAATATCTCATTGAGGTCTTGTAGACAATGTTCCAATCTATCAGCAAACCCAGATTCATACCACATTACTGTACATTTTTCTGGTTATTGATCTCTAAACTTGCCATGAATCGCAATACAGCAAGGCAAAAACAGCTATGTACCATTGCACTCTTTTCACAATTGGTGGCGCTATATCTCAGCAGTCTTTGAGGGTGCGTTAAATATCTCACTGGGGTCTTATAGACAATGTTCCAATCTATCAGCAAACCTAGATTCATACCACATTACTGTACCAATTTTAGGTTCTTGACCTCTAAACTTGCCAAAAATCGCAATACAGCAAGGCAAAAACAGCTATGTACCATTGCACTCTTTGCACAATTGGTGGCGCTATATCTCAGCAGTCTTTGAGGGTGCGTTGAATATCTCACTGGGATCTTGTAGACAATGTTCGAATCTATCAGCAAACCCAGATTCATATCACATTACTGTACCAATTTTAGGTTATTGACTTCTGAACTTGCAAAAAAATCGCTTACAGCCAAGTACCATTGCACTCTTGACACAATTGGTGGCGCTATACCTCAGCAGTCTTTGAGGGTGCGTTGAATATCTCATTGAGGTCTTGTAGACAATGTTCCAATCTATCAGCAAACCCAGATTCATACCACATTACTGTACCAATTTTAGGTTATTGATCTCTAAACTTGCCATAAATAGCAATGCAGCAAGGCAAAAACATTGTCCTATTGCACTCTTGGCACAATTGGTGGCGCTATATCTCAGCAGTCTTTGAGGGTGCGATGAATATCTCACTGGGATCTTGTAGACAATGTTCCAATCTATCAGCAAACCCAGATTCATATCACATTACTGTACCAATTTTAGGTTATTGACTTCTGAACTTGCAAAAAATCGCAATACAGCCAAGTACCATTGCACTCTTGACACAATTGGTGGCACTGTATCTCATCGGTTTTTGAGGGTGCGTTGAATATCTCACTGAGGTCTTGTAGACAATGTTCCAATCTATCAGCAAACCCAGATTCATACCACATTACTGTACCAATTTTAGGTTATTGACCTCTGAACTTGCAAAAAAATCGCTTACAGCGAAGTACCATTGCACTCTTGACACAATTGGTGGCGCTATACCTTAGCAGTCTTTGAGGGTACGTTGAATATCTCATTGAGGTCTTGTAGACAATGTTCCAATCTCTCAGCAAACCCAGATTCATACCACATTACTGTACATTTTTCTGGTTATTGATCTCTAAACTTGCCATAAATCGCAATACAGCAATGCACAAACAGCTGTACCATTGCACTCAACCAAAGCTCATTCAAAAAATCTCGCGGACGTTTATGGAGAACGCGATTTATCTAGCCGGAGGTACGTATGGCTGCATTTCATTTTTTTAAGCATATGCTACGGGGCGGTGT